CCTTGCTTTGACGTTAAAGTGTTAAAGTATGTTACTTTAACTTTAACTTTAACGTTAAAGTTAAAGTTAAACTCTCATCCCTATGTTGGACTCTCGTACTCCCATTGTACTCCCTGGACTCTGCAAGTACAGGGAGTACGATGGGAGTACGAGAGTACGATGGGAGTACGGGAGTACGTGTTTTCCCCCTTGGGTGTGGGTGTTTGTTTCTTTCAGGCATCGTACGTCTACACCCCACACCCACACCCACACCCACACCCACACCCACACCCTGACTAGGTGTACCAAATTCAACAAATACACGAATACCGCGTTCTCGAGCAAATTCAATTATATCTTTAATTAATATCATTTTGAGAATATATGTGGAGTTCACTATATGCACCTTTCGAACTCATTTGTAGATAAGTTAAAGATTCATATGGAAATGATTGATCATCAACTATATGAAAATGAAATATATTTAATTTACTTTGTAACATTGCTTTTTGTGTTAATATGTATTACATTTCAAAAACAATTTTATAAAAGAAAAAGACTTTACTACGTAGATTCATTTTTAACGTATTAAGAGAAACAAAATATGTTGGCGTATCAAATAGCAAACCACGATATTGAAAACGAGGAAAATCATTGATTATTGTTTCATTTATAACAAATTAAAGTTATTTTTAATTATTTTTATCTTATATAAATAATTATCAAAAAATTGTCATCTGAATAAATTAATTAACTAAATGATTCAAGACATATAAGAACACTCGACGCTTCAATTACATTCAGTATAACTTCATCATCTTTTATTACAAGCCTATCGAAACAAATTAATTAAACAATTTTATTCTTAATTACAACAATTAAAATAGTTTACCTATCTTTTTGAATTATTAATCAGAATATTTGTAAATAAATTATAAGTTCCATTTGATTGAAGAGTTAGCCATTGATCAGATGATTGTTGAATATTAACATTGAGATGGTTAAGCATAATTGTATCATTAGCTTTGAATAATATTTTGTCAAGATTATATTTGAAAGCATTTTGATTTATTGAAGATTTATTTAATAAATAATGCAAATAGGTTTGTGGAAAGAAAATTAATTGATAATATCTTTCAAAAGCATTTATGAGTAGATCATCTTGATAACTTGTCGAATTGTAACGAAAATGAAATGCATCTGAATGAAGAGAAAGACGTTAATTTCTTATATTGATCGATTGTGGCATTGACCATGCTTGACGATTTGTAGATCTTATTGAATTAACTTCAATTTCTTCTTTTAATTCAACAAAAATAAACACAAAAGAGAATAAAGAATCAGAAAAAGAACCGAAGTGTCTTCTTTTGTTTTATTCGAAATCGTATTATAACCTTTTTATTCTTCACTTATTTATCAGTTAAAGATAGGGTGTGGGTGTGCTTCTGCGTTATCAGCACCCAACCGTCACCCACCCACATCCACACCCTTCTCTATATCTGCCCATGAATCACCAAGAGCAATACGTCCATCTGAACCAATGTTTGCAAATGCATAATTAATATGTGTTATTTTATCTCCTGGGATATCAGTAACTATATATGATCGTTGATAAATCGACCAAGCAGTAAAATAAGCAACAATAATCGGAGTAACTACCATTGTTTCGTTTTTGTTCTCTGAAAAAAAAAAAAAATTTTCTCTTGTAGACTTATACAACAGAAAAAAGAGCTACGTGTCAATAATGATATTTGATGACATATGTCGAATTCTATAATCTTGACGCAACAATCAACATGATGTTTATCACGAGAAAAATATGAATTGGTGGAAAATTTTTATCTGCTAGGGATGATCTTTTACTTTTATGTTAGAAAATAAAGATAAGAAGGTAATTCATTTTTACTAGATAATAACAAAGTAAAAGAATAAAAGATTAGTTTTCCTGAGATAATTTGGTGGGGAAGAATTTGAACCAGAGAAGTTTTCCAACTGTTTAGGAGCTTTTGACATCATTTTTTTGGCTATAGATACGTTTCATTGACACTGAGAAAAATCCACAAAAGATTTCGTATCCATGACTCTTTCCTGTCCAGATAGTACCAAATTTATGTCAAAAATAATATATATATATATATATCTGAATTTCAAATATCGACTAAACTAAATTATCTAATACAGAAAATTTACTAGTAAAATGCCTAGTCTCAAAAACTTTATTAATTTATAAAAAATACAAAAGAATGGTGTTATATCTATATTAAGCTATGAGTGCGGAACAAAGTAGAAATTCATTGAATTATAAGGAGTAATCCGTCCAAAACTGATAAAAACATAACATTCTTCTTCGTTGCATAGAAGCAGGCCGAAAACAAAACTAGTTTTGACTGTTTTATGTGTTCGTTTCATAAAAACAAAGTGTTTGAGATCAACCAATTTACTAGCCACAATTCAGTTTTTCAGATATATACATATTATGATCGTGATCGAGTTTCTTGAATAGTTATGTTTAATATCCGAAATAGTTAGATTGACAGAGAAACACGCTTTCAAAAAAAAAAGATAAAAAGTTTTTTTGCTATACATTTGTTCCTATCTCTTATATTGGTTATCCAGTTGATTGATAACTTAGTTATCAGAATTGGTGCATAACTATAACAAGACAGGACAGGTTAAAGCACAACAACGGAATAGAAGAGAGAGAGAGAAAAGAAATGCCCTGCAACCATCTTTGATTTCAACTTTTTTTTAAAAAGAGAAAATTGAATAGAATAAGAAGAACAAGTTGTTAACATAGAAAAAACCAAGTTACAGAAGAAGAGAATTACTATCATTGCTGTTCTCTTAGTTTCTATATTTCTTGTATTTAGCTAGCGTTCCTTCAATCAAAATAGATTTTCTTAACGATAGAAATTGCTTGGTTGCAAATTTTTTTATATTAGATTTGTCATCATCGCATTATCTCTCGTAGAAGAACTCTTGATTCTTTTATTTTATCTGCATGTAGTAAAGATATATGATTTTCACTAGAATTATCTGTTGCAGAAGACAAAAAATAAGGAAAGATATACAATGTTCGCTAACATCGAGAAATACAACAATAATCTCCTTAGGGATGTTCCATGGGAATGTCTACCAGAAAAAAATCCACAAGTGTTTTCAAATTGCATGAAAATTTCAAAATTTGTAGACTATGTTGATCTAGAATTATCTGTAATATGAGTATTTTAAATTTTATTAATAGATACGTACATATAGAGGATGATATATTGTACGGTTTTTGTAGAACTCAAAAGATATTAATGAATCATATATATTATGTATTATTTGATTGCTTGTGACCTTGGCTATAACAGACTATAATATTCTCAATACTTTTATCATATGATCATTCCATTTTGACGGCATATCTCCTAAATTATAGTATGCGCGCATGCAAAAAAAAAAGTTGGAAAAAACGGAATTGCCAAGAACAGCCATATGTAGAGTTTTAGTAGAGAATTAACTGCTCAACAGCATACACTATACTCGACCTTTTCCATTTTGGATCTGAGAAAATGAGAAACAAAGAAAGATAAAAGATTTGCGTTTTTTTCAATATATAAGAAGAGAGTATTCACATGTTGTTACC